TGTTTTGTATTGATGTATTTGTTTCTATCCTCAGTCAGTGACCCTGGTCCATTTCATTTTTGATGACAATTATGAAGAAGATCGCCCAACATACTCCTGTTATTCTGCATATGCCAGATTATTAGGATTTAATATATTTTCCCTCCTAACTTCTGACCATTTCTTCTAGATCAAGAGGTGCAGCGGCTGAAAGTAGGAATGGAATCATTATTAGCTGCAAATGAGGAGAAGGTGAGAAACCATTTAAGGCATTTAAAATTTTGCTTTGATAGTAATGAGAATAGACTAGATCAGTGGTTCTTAACCTTTGTTACTCGGATGTTTTTGAACTGCAACTCCCAGAAACCCCAGCCAGCACAGTTGGTGGTGAAGGCTTCTGGGAGTTGCAGTCCAAACCTCCTGAGTAACCCAAGGTTAAGAACCAGTGGACTAGATACTGAACTAGATTTATTGAATTTGTATTAGTGAAAGGAAAGGAGAAAGCCTTTAACCAACAATCAATACAATTTTGGAGAAGAGGTTCATAATAAAAGAATTACTCCAAAGGGTCACGTGGGTATGGGGGTGCACTGGGTTTTCGATTGTTAGTCAGGGTTTTGTATTGATGTATTTGTTTCTATCCTCAGTCAGTGACCCTGGTCCATTTCATTTTTTATGACAATTATGCTGTTAAGAAGATCGCCCAACATACTCCTGTTATTCCGCATATGCCAGATTATTAGGATTTAATATATTTTCCCTCCTAACTTCTGACCATTTCTTCTAGATCAAGAGGTGCAGCGGCTGAAAGTAGGAATGGAATCATTATTAGCTGCAAATGAGGAGAAGGTGAGAAACCATTTAAGGCATTTAAAATTTTGCTTTGATAGTAATGAGAATAGACTAGATCAGTGGTTCTTAACCTTTGTTACTCGGATGTTTTTGAACTGCAACTCCCAGAAACCCCAGCCAGCACAGTTGGTGGTGAAGGCTTCTGGGAGTTGCAGTCCAAACCTCCTGAGTAACCCAAGGTTAAGAACCAGTGGACTAGATACTGAACTTGCAAAGGTGTTTTCCCATCATGGTTTTCTGTCATCAAGGTGAGCCAAAACACCATCCCCATTTTTTTCTATCCGGTTTACAGCTGCAAGGAGTTCCCTTCTTGTTTTTTTTTTGGGGGGGGGGAGATAGCAAAGCAGGATACCTCACTTACAACCACCAGCAGTAGTCTACTTTCCATTCACGCTAGGAGAAAGAGGTTTCATTTTTGATGACAATTATGAAGAAGATCGCCCAACATACTCCTGTTATTCTGCATATGCCAGATTATTAGGATTTAATATATTTTCCCTCCTAACTTCTGACCATTTCTTCTAGATCAAGAGGTGCAGCGGCTGAAAGTAGGAATGGAATCATTATTAGCTGCAAATGAGGAGAAGGTGAGAAACCATTCAAGGCATTTCAAAATTTTGCTTTGATAGTAATGAGGATAGACCAGATACTGAAATTGCAAAGGTGTTTTCCCATCATGGTTTTCAGTCATCAAGGTGAGCCACAACACCATCCCCAATTTTTTTCTGTCCAGTTTACAGCTGCAAGGAGCTGCCTTTTTTTTTTTTGGGGGGGGGGAGATAGCAAAGCAGGATACCTCACTTACAACCACCAGCAGTAGTCTACTTTCCATTCACGCTAGGAGAAAGAGGGTATTAGAGGGAAGATGGTATTTATGAGAGTTGTTAATTCTTTACCTGGCACCAGAAAATTATAGCTATTAGCCCTTCATGATGTTGCTGTCCCTTAGAGAGTGGGACTAGTTATTAGCCTGAAAGTTTCAGCGTCCTAAACTTTCCCATGGCTCACATTTTCTTGTCACACCTATTTTCATGAGGGAAATGACAGAGAGATAATTTAATCACAGGAGAGCCGTGACCCCTCTCATCTTTCAGTTACTGGAAGTGACATAAAGCAGGTGGTGTTAAATGAAATTGTGAGAGGGGGGGATGATGCCTCACTTCCATTAACAGGAAGCAAATGCATAGATTGGCTATCAACCCCATAATATGTCTTGCCAGAGTGAGAAAGAGAGAGCATATGATCCCCTACCCTAAAGGTCCATATTAACTTTGATTCTGTATGTCAGCCTTTTTTTTATTGTTGTTCATGTACACACCAGTACATCTTCATGCAGCAATAACATGAAGAGGGAAAGGGTATCATTTTGCCACTAGTGACTACAGCTAAGGAATTTTGCTGCAGATTTGAAGTATCCCATGTCCTAACAAACTTCCTGTTCACTGAGAGATGGAGTGCTTTATTTCTGCATAGCTAATACTATATGCCTTAGTAAAACAGGGACTCATACAGTAAGTATGTATCTTCATTTGGGAAGTACAGCAAAATCTTCCTATATGCCTTAGTAAAACAGGGACTCATAAGTATGTATCTTTATTTGGGAAGTACAGCAAAATCTTATCCTAGCACATCTTCAAACAATTCTGTGACTGACCTTCTGCTTACTTTCACAGTGTAATTTACCAGCGCAACTGTATGTTTGCAATGACTTTGTTGAAATGTCTTAGGCTTTTGTGTTTGATTGCTTCTGGACACACCACACAATGGATAGTTGTTATTTGTTTTCTGTCTTAGACTCATGGCATTTCTTTTCAACGTAATGCATTTGTAACGGATTTTGTTACAAGGGAAAATGCAGTCCTTCTCCACTGTCATTGGAAATGGAGTTATGTCAGTCTGTTGCAATTATTATAGGTGTATCTTATCCCATTAAGACAATGAGTTAAGTCACATTTTTATTTCCCATACTAAAATTTGACACATAAACTGCAAATATGGTGGTGCTGAAGATGGCACAGGAAAGGGGCCAACATTTCTCAATTCAGGAATGGTTCTGTGTTGAATGCCTCTTAAAAGCAGCAAAATAAATACTTGGGGACAACTTTCCAATGTCCATGACAATCCTTGTGCTGTAATGATGATGCTACAGTGGTGCCTTGCTAGATGATGATAATCCGTTCCACTGAAATTGCTGTTTAGCGAAATCATTGTCTAGTGGAAAGCATTTCTCCATTGGAATGCATTGAAACCTGTTTAATGCGTTCCAATGGGGAAGAATCGTTGTTGTCTAGCGAAGATCGGCCATAGGAAAGCCGCTTTGTGAATTGCCAATCAGCTGTTTAAATAGCTGTCTTGCGAAGCTTAGGTCCTGAAAACACCCATTTTGTGAGCAAGGAGGGAGCCGTCACAATCGTTGTCTAGCGAAAATTGGTTTGCGAAGCAGGGACCAAACATTGTTCAGCGAAATTCCCCCATAGGAATCACTGTTTTGCAAATTGCTATAGCAATCGCAAAAAGTCAATGTCTAGCGAAAACACTGTCATGCGGGGTAACTGTCTAGCGAGGCACCACTGTATTGTCATTTGTCAAGGACAAGCAGTATTGTTCATGAGCAGTATCTAATCAACAAGGTTCTTGTGAGTGAGTCATGAGAAAAGCTAGAAAAAATAGATCTCGTTAGCTTTCTTTACATAGTCTACAATAGATAATGTGTTTGGATATTTTTATTATTGCTATTTAGTTTTTTTGTCTCTGTTTCTTTTGAGGACCGTCGGATAGAAGAGTTAACAGTTTTACTAAGCCAGTATCGACGACTGAAAGAGATAATGATTGCAGTACAAGGTATAGTTAGTGGAAAGTTCACTGCTTGGAAGTAGATTTGCCAAACTGGACGGCCTGTTTTAATGTACAGTGTTATTTAATCTACAAAAGTGGGTAATGTAGTAAAGCAGATAAATCAGCTCAGGAAGGACTGTTTCGAAAATAACTGAAGTTAATGTGCAGATCAGTTCTTTGATTCAGATTTTGTTGGAAGTACCCTAACCCTCCTTGCTCCTTGACTAAATAGCACCATGGCATTTGTGTGATTCCTTTACTGTAACAATGTTAGTGGTGCTCAACACCATAGCAGAGTAAGGCAGGTTCTCATGGGAAATGCTAGTACAGCTTCTCTTCTTTCCAGGCATAGAGAGTATGGGCTGTGGCCAAAGACCAGAGCATGTACATGTATGTGGTTGAGAGCCATAAGACCAGAGCATGTACATGTGGTTGAGAGCCATAAAATGCACACTTCCTGCATCACCACTTTTCTTACCCCCCTGATGTTTCTTTGTTCTACAATAGCTTTCACTATGGGGAATTTTACTAGAATTCTTCAGCATGTGTTTCATTTCTATCATAAACTGAAAAAAAAACTATATTAACCATTTTTAGTATATTGAACAAAGAGGGTTTGTGTCGTCAACCAGATATACTTGATTGTATTGTACTGCGAATGCATTGCTCGGAGAAAGTTTGCCAGCACTTATGTGCAGGGTGGGCAGCTGATGACCTTCCAGATGTTGTTGGAGTGCCCATGAGCCCTAGCCAATGGCAATACTGAGTGATATGGAGCCATGGTCTGACTCAGAACAAGCTGCCTCTGATCCAGATGGGTGATAATTGCATACATTCCATGATTTCCATGTGGTTCACCAAAACAGACAGTGAAAGTTAATTCGCTATGCAATAAAAACATGGCCATATCTCAAACCATTTATCCTTATTTGGTCATGCAGCTTTCTGTCATTTTAAACAGGGACTAATAAAATTATTAGGGTTAGGGAGGAGTGCAGAAAAATTGTCTATTAAAGCATCTTTCGTTACTGACTAGACAGTCATATGCAATGTTATACTTCCTGTCTGCATTCAAATAACCCAGCCAAGAAGATAAGTGAACGCAAAGAAAAGCAGTTTGACTTGGAATTGGGGGTGGGGGAGCAGCATCCTCTGGATATAATTTTAGAAACTCTCTGTCATATATAATATACAGATCTTTTGCATTCCAAGGGAAGGGGCTCCCCTTTGCAGATCTGTGTGTAGGAGTGAGGAGAGGAATGAATTTTCAAGGCCAATTTCCACTCATTCAACTCTGATTCTTTTTTTAAAGATTCCCCATTTGTTATCAGGCAAAAATAACAGGAAAAATAGTAATGAAGAAGGCAAAAACTTTGTGGCACTTTTAAGACTAACCACCATCTTTAAGGTGCCACAACTTTTTTGTCGTCTTTATTTCCACCCCCCTTTAGACTAACCACCATCTTTAAGGTGCCACAATTTTTTTGTCGTCTTTATTATTTTTCCCCCTTTTGTTTTTGGCCTGATAGCACAGACTAACATTGCTGCCTCTTCTAAAGCCCATTTGTTATGACTGGTTAGTTTTCAGTATTATCATCACATCTTTTACTAAAGATAGCGTGTTTACTGAGATAATAAGGAGCTTACTAGACATTATTAGACCCAGGCTGACACTTCTCTAGCTTTTCTTAGTAAGAGGTCTAGCAAGAAGGGAACCATCAATAGCTGACCTTTTCCCAGCCAATACAAAAGATATAAGAAAAGCTGGAAGTAATTATCTTGTTTTGCAACCCATCCTGGATTTCTCTAAACATAATATTAAGAACTGATGACATTAAGCAATATTTCACTCAACACACTTCCATTTTCCAGTGACATAACAACTTTAAAGATATTGCTTGCCACAAAACACCATAGTGACCCAGTTTGCTATAATTAACTACAGAACATTTAGCTTAAAAAAATATAAAACTGTCTTCGTAGAAAAAAAAAATTGACTGCATCTCTTCTGTGCCCAGCAAACATCTCCAGAATTAAGAACTTGATCTGAGCACTTAAGATATAATAGTGCCAGCAGAAAACTTTAATTTATTGCTGTACAAATTATAAGCTAGTCTTCTTTGAAATAAAGTGTTTGCCAAAATCTGTGTTGCCTAGTGATTAGTGGCTGCTGAGAGGGCACAACCAAAGTGCTTTGAAGAAACAGCCACTGTAGTCCCATCGTCCCTGAACTTTCTTTTTTTTAAGCTGGCTGTAATTCACTATTTTCCTGGCTTCAGGATAGACATATATGGAATTGCACTGCTAATAACTTTTCCTTCTAGTTTATGTGAAGTAAGCACATGACTGGATGTTACTTATTTATTTGTATTATTGATATGCTGCCTTTCTTCCAAAAGGGAAAATTAAAATTGTACAATAATGACACCTTTCAATTACTATGCAAAACTGCATTTAAAAACAATTAAACATTAATCAAGATTAGAACCAAGAGATGTTTTAAAAATTTAATTTCATAAATAGAACATTCCCTAGAGCCTTGCT